TGCAACAACACTCCTGGGTGCTCTGCTTTTCTTCCACTGTCCAAAAARTATGCCAAATTGATTCTAGATTGGCTGGTGCAACCTCACTGTGCCCTGTGGTGAACTAAAGGCTATGCCACACACTTTGCTTAATGGARTTTCTGATAAACCCTCAAGCCAGAYAGATRAAAGTATCAGTGTGTTTTAAAAGTGCAGTTTTACAACTTGCTTTAGTCATGCCCTCTGCATTTTAATGCACTGTTAAATAGATTTGGGATAATTTACAAACCTTTTTGACTGTATGATAAAGACTGAATCCCAAAAATTTGATTTGCTTTTACAGATTAGTAATTTTGGACTTTATTCTTTATTCTTTTTTATTTTTTCCAGACATGGAATATTACTCATACTCCTTTATGTAATACTTATTTTTACCGTTGACCAACTGTGGACATAATATAATAYATTTATTTGATTTTTCAAAGTTTATTATATACTCCAATTCTGATGAAGTTGGGATGTTGTGTAAGTCATGAATTTAAAAAAGAATATGATGATTTGCAAATCTTTTTTAATCTATATTCAACTGAACAAATACAGGATATTTAATGTTCAAACGGATAAACTTAATTTTGTTTGTTTGCTTGATGTTTTTTTTTTTTTCAAATATTCACTTATTTTGAATTTGATGCCTGCAACATGTTCCAAAAAAGGCTGGGACAGAGGAAATAAAAGACTTGGAAAATTGAGGAWTGCTCAAAAACACCTGTTTGGAGCATTCCACAGGTGAACAGGTTCAACAGGTGAGTGTCAAAGGGAGCATCCCTGAAAGGCTCAGTATTTCACAAGCAAGGATGGAGCAACTGCATGAGCAAAAAGTCCAACAGTTTAAGAACAATTTTAGGGATTTAGGGATTTCATCATCTACAGTCCATAAGATCATCAAAAGATTCAGAATCTGGACAAATCTCTGCAAGTAAGCATCAAGGCCGAATACTAACATCGAATGCCTGTGACCTTCGACCCCTCAGGTAGCACTGCATTACAAACTGATGACATTCTGTAATGGAGTAAGAGTGTGAGTACTTAACTGACCTGCCTGCAGTCCAGACCTGTCTCCCATTGAAAATGTGTGGAGCATTATGAGGCACAAAATACGACAATGGAGACAAASGACTGTTGAGCAACTGAAGTTCCAACTACAAAGCCTCGACAATTTCCTTAAGTGTTGTTAAAAAGAAAGGTGATGTAACACAGTGGTAAACATGACCCTGTTCAAGCTTTTTCTGGAACGTGTTGCAGGTATCAAATTTAAAATGGGTGAATATTTGCAAAACAACTAATTTTATCTTTTTGAACAAAACAATTCTATGTTCACAATTTCTTTTCCTTCTGTAAATCGATCCTGATCTGCAATTCTTCACCACTTTGTCTCTGACCTCTGTGAGGAGTTCCTTGGTCTCCATGCTGTYCTTTGCTTGGTGCTAATCTTTAGATGTGTTGCACTGGTGTTCACTCAACACTTACATTAAAATCCATAGGGGATCTTATTTAACTAATTATGAGGCCTCTGAGTGTAATGATTAGGGCTTCAAAGCAAAAAGGGTGAATGCGCACAGTTTTTAATTAAAAAAACAAGATTTTCTTTTTCCAATTTAACCTTATTTGTGGAGTTTTGTGTAGATCCACTACTTAGAATTAAGCTGAAACAATAATTTAAAGGGGCAATATTATGTGTTTCTCTGGCATATATTTAAATTCTATACCATAAAAAAGTAACTGTCACCTTCAGTTGTTATTAAAATGCTGTTTTTATGTTTAAATAAAAAATAAACTTAATTTCTCATTCCATTCATACGTTTCTAAATGCCTTTAAATTGGCCTCTGTCTCTTTAAGAACCTCCTTAAGATCCCGTCACGTCCATTTCAGTACGTCATCGCAACAGCTTCATGCCATTCCCTGTCTGCTGTTTACAAGCTGGAACATCGTAGCATGCTTTATTGTAATGACAATTAAAAATCAGCAACGTTATACAAGATTTTGGAAATTTCATCTCAGGATACATATGAACCTTACTGTCAGACCAGAAAGTACATTTTCTAAAGAACCGGAGCGATTACAGAGAGAACAGCTGGTAAGATTATTTCAGTCGCTCAAACCACACACACACACATGCATGTCCTGATCGTAATAAGTTATAAATCTTAACACATAAACCAAACAACATGTAAACAAAACAACATGAGTTGTTTTTCAGCTTAACTGCAGACGACAACGGTGTTTAATCCAACGGGGACTGGGGGGGTGGTTGGGGGGGGTGATACGGAAACTCGTAGTTTCCTTGGCTGCACTAAGTATTATTAGGAGCTCAGCAGACACAGTTTTCACTGGGTCTTTGCTAGTTGTTGCTGCCGATAGCCTGCAGGAGTCGCAGGGGAGGTGTGCTCTGTGATGAGGAAGCTCCGATTGGAGACACAACCCAGAGGAGGAGCTGATCCCAAAAGGCGGTTCTAGGCCCAACCGGTCATTTTGGCTCCCCTGGCCGCCTCAGGACACTACAGGATGTCTCAAACATGCATGAATGAGTTAAGACTTTTAAGACTTTGGGCATGTTTTTGATSAGAGGATAACATTATAACACAATATAAAGCTCAAAAAAGTAGATTTTTACATGATGTTGCCCCTTTAGTTTCCAGGTTGTAAGACTACAAAAAATGAGGGAATGTCTGCAGTAAAGTCATATACTGTATTGTTACTTGTCTGGACGGTCTTTGGGACTTTTTAATTATCATGACAACGATGTTAATTATTTGTATTTAAAAAATACATCAGTGATGATCTTCAACATTACAGACTTGACAAGATGTGAACTTTAGCTGTGGTATCTGGTACCAGCATCAGATTATTTATGGTGGAACCTCCTGTTAATTGGAGCTGGGGGTTTTTTCCCAAATGAGCTCAGAGATAATGAATTAAAATGGTGTGAAATTGTAAGTCAAACGTGTGTGTGTGTGTGTGTGTGTGTGTGTGTGTGTGTGTGTGTGTGTGTGTGTGTGTGTGTGTGTGTGTGTGTGTGTGTGTGTGTGTGTGTGTGTGTGTGTGTGTGTGCCATTATTTTTATGAAAGTGGGTTTTATCTGTAGCAATGTTTAGGCAAATGTTTTGTGTCAGTTATATTTACATAACTAACAGGAATATTGTTACTTCTGGTTTGTCTACTGCCCGGCACACCTTGATGCCACAACATTTACATGTGCAAGTGTTGTCAGTGTTAAAGGGGGGGCGGGGGAGACAGCATGGTCACCCTCATCAGTCTGTTGTTTTTTTTTTTTTAAGTTTGAGGTGATGAAACTTTTCTACAGATCTAAAAACACAGAACATGGTCTGCAGTGCTGGCTTGTGGGTTATCTTCAAGCATTCAAGCTGCAAACAAGTCCTCCCATAACCTGGTTTATGCTGTTGTTTTGATGTACACGGACTGCATGCACACACATGGCCCACTTCCTGAACCATGTCCACATGGAGCGTGGATGAGAGCCCAATCACAGCGAGGCTACAAATGGCAGCGGTGTGTCTCAACTTGTTTTTCTTCTGTGTGTTTACCTCAGATAGATTAGAGTTTGACTGACTGTGGTCTTGTAGAAAATTGTGCATTTTTCAAAATGGTATGKCCGAATAAACAGGAATACACTTGGATTTCTTCTTAAAACTTTATTCTCAATCATCTGACTCCAATCAGATCCACAGTACAGCACTGAGCAGGCCTCAGTGTAAGACCTTGGGCTGAAACAAAACAAAACAGCTGCCCTGCTCTGAGCAGAGACTCTGCAACACACTGACAACTTCTCTTACTATAATAATGAATTGATCTTATAATGTTCATCTCTTCCTGGTTACGCCCCTGGAGGTGTTACCTTTTACGTCAGACATCAGAACGTAAGTCATTTTTGTTTAGGCTAAGTAAAGAACACATGATAAGACACRAACCAACTCTTATTCTGTTATGGACTTAAAGGCTGAAATGATCAGAAAGTATAAAATACAAAACTGCATCTAATATTCAATTAAYCAGTTACAAAATTTCYTTCTGTCTRAAAATATCAGTTTTTATTCCCCCAAGTTAGATATATTTTATAAATCAGTAGCAGAGATTTAAACAGCTGTGATTTGTCTTTTCATTAGAGTTAGCATATCTCCACACTTCATGTATATCAATAGCTCACATCAGCTGTGCAAACAGGAACATTTCAACCTGTCAGACTGTAGAACACGTGGTTTTCTAAAAGTTTAATTATGTTGATTTAATTATTTACTTTAATTAAAGTAATCAGTTTAGATGTGAAACTAGTTTACAGGTTTAGTTTATCGGTCATTTTTAAAATTAATCTTGAAATTAATATTTTTTTGCAAATGGGCAGGTATTGTGCGATTTTTTTTTCTTCTGCTACCTTTTATTTGTATTTTGTTGTGTGTAAATGTTTTGTTTTTTTGTTTTAATTAAATGAATAAAGTTAATTGACTTCTATTTGTACAGCTGACCAGAGTACTTTACAGTAAAAAAAGTACATATTTAAAATACACAAAACACAGTTCCTGCCAGAGCTTGATTTCCTTTCTGTTATCATGATCCAGAAGCTTGCTGGTTGATAGGAGTATTCATCCTGGTGTACCAAGGCCATTGAAAAACTTTTAAAGTTGGGTGTAAAATCTTAAAAGTCATCTGAAAATGGACAGGAAGTCACTGAAGAGATGCTGCACTTACGACAGTGTGTAGGCGATGTATGATTAATAGTAGCCTATTAAGATGGTCCAGATGGAACGTGATAAAAGTGTGAATGACTTTTTCCAGGTCTTTTATAAGAAGAAAAAACTTCACCTTGGCAGAACTGCAGCATGATTTAAAATCTGATTTAAATTTTTAATGAAATTGTTAAAAAAAAACATGTCTAGAAATTATTTTACAAACTTTTTTTAATGTTAAGCCAAAGTTCAAAGCCATCTTGTTTTTATTCCTCCACCAGGCTCTCCCCCCTCCTCACCTTGTGAGCAAACAGACCGCCCACAGCAGGAGGAAGCCACGATGAAGAGGAGGAGCGATGACTACCTGCCGGTTCCTGGGGAGGAGAAGAACCTGGATGGAAGCTTCAGCAGGAAGGCCGGGAGCAACAAGTCCATAGTAAGAGGTTTTCTCCTCCTCGCATCATCTTGTGTGAAAGGTTTTCCAACTCAGCTTGAAGCTCAGAGATGCAGGTATTATTAGATGTGAGCTGCAGATGCAGACAAAGTTTTAATGTTCTCCAAATGAAATCAGAAATTCAGCTTTGCTGCCAACAGAGAGGAGAGAGTCCTTTCCAAACACAATGAAGCTCCTTTGAGGGTTTTGCAGCTGTTTTTCCAAAACAAGATGTTTTCTTTTTTCTTTTTCTTTATTTTATTGCGGTGTGCTGGGAGCTGATAGAGGATCATAGTTGGGTTCTTTGTTTATCAGCCTCAATGCGAACAGAGCTGTTTGTTTCACTGCCATTAAAGAGAAATAAACAGTGTTTTCATGAAAGCTAGCTCCTCTCTGGGAGCGTCTCTGACTTATTAAAGTTGGCTGTTAAAGGGCTGCTGTGTTCCCACTCATAAATCAGAGCAGCAGTAAGAGAAATGTATAATAAAGTAAACTAAATATGCYTCTTAAAACAAGGACATTTTGATGTTGCAGTTTATGATGCTGTGGGATAATAAGCAGCAAGTGGGGGGGGGCAGAAATGGTGTGATACTGTAGACATTATCAGTCTACGTGCAGCAGCATTGTCCTGTGTTACACTCATTATGCTAATTTGACATAATTTTAAGAAACTATAGAGAAAAATGTAATAATTCTAAAAAGCTGAAACCAGAAAATATGACTGCCATTTTATATATTCAGCCTTTATTTTCTTAATTACCCTATTTATTTTCAATAATTCAAAAGTTTTCTTTCCTGCACAGTTTTCTGTGCTATAGTTTAGTTTACGGAGGATCTTCCCCCCCCCCCCCCTTTTTTTGGCGTCACTCAGACTGAGGTTAGAGATAAGATCACACCCAAATCCAGTTTGTGTGCATTGAACGAGGCTTTAATTATTGTGTAATAGAACATTTTGTTGTCGTTGGTGCAAGGCACTAATTATTTTGTAGGAATTACACACTTCATTGGGTCTGGGATTAATGGAACCTTTGTAGCTTGCAATCTATGCTGCCTGCAAAATGAAAGCAGTTTTTTTTAAGTCTGGTTGTTGGGTGGAGTATATCTAAAAGTTGACTTTTCAGTTGCAACTCACGGTATTCAGTAATTTTTCGAATTTGCGTGTTTCTTTGTATCTGCATATAGATGACGAAACAAACGTGCCTGAAGTWGCTGTATTTTTTATGCAAATGTCACATGTCTGAATGAGTTTTGCTTTGCAAACCTGTATCCGCCCATAAACACATGACCAACACAGAAACCAGCCTGTTATCTGCAGTTATCTTCAGATTAAACCCAGTCTATTTCCAAAGTTCGTGCAACCTGATTTGTTCATGTTATACGTAATATTAAAAGCATTCATCGTTTGCCTTTTTGCTTAACAGCAAATATTCATGAGCACTTTTATTATTCACATAAGGGGGAAAACGTRTCAGCACTAACCTGAATGTAAACACCAATGCATCTTTACCCATAGAGGCAGCAGTCCCTAGACTTTAAAACCTTAAACTTAAAAGAGAAGCCAATGAAATATTATCATCATCTAGCCTTTATGGTACTTTAGTGTTCTTATCTTGCAATTTAATGTTCTGCCGACCTGCAGTTATTAGTACTAAATGTGTAAGGCCAGTGTGCAAATGAGAATRATGGTTTAAAAATGAACATTTCCACTGTTTCTCTTCCGTTTGTGACCAAAGCACATCCCAGACAGAGACAGGGTCTGTCTTGGATCAGGACTTTGTCAGATGGATGGCTGGTTTTCACCAGTGTGGGGAACCTCACTCAGAGGAGAGATCTTTCAGACACATTTGTGGTCAYGCTGCTGAATCGATGTGATCATACAGTAAGTGGCTGTGAGTACYTAGTCTGAGGCACTGCGAGTACTGACACAGTTCTCAGGTCTTGTTCACGTTCGGCTTTAACACAAGACTTTTGATAAACTGATAGTGAGCGGTCAGCTCTTGGCCATAAACAAATCCTTTTCCTGTTTCTGTTTGGGCTTTGGAGACATTTGCCAGATATATTCTAGACACCGTTGCCGGGCTGAATGCTGGAAAGTGTGGCTCTGTGGGAACGTTTGTGAATTAAATCTTCCATTATGCAAAACCTGACAGTTCCAGTATCCAGATTTATTTTATTGCTGCTGTCAAATGCAGCAGACTGCTGGACTGTTTCATCCTGAGCTTATCATGGCTCAAGTGTGTGTGTGTGTCTGTGTGCGTGGGAGTGTGTGTTTTTGTGCACACATGTATGGGGGTGGTTGTGTACGTTTGGAGAGCCTCATTTCCCGGCGGCTTGGTGAGAAAAAGCGTTCCCACTGGCGAGTGATGCGTACACCACAACATCCTCATCTGCCTTCTGAGAAGTGCCCTCTGACCCTTGCCGCTATGACTACTTCCTGTTTAAAGGGAAATGAACATGCGTGTGAATCTGTGTGTATACCACACGCACAAGCCCCCCTCATGATGATGTCGCTGACAGGAGGGTTGAGGCTGTGACGAAAAGAAGAGGTTTTCTGCTCAGCACGCTGTGTTCTATGTCAATATTAGTTTTCTGGTTGATCTACAATCATAAATCATCAGTTCCCCCTGATTTCAGCCTGACTTTATGACCCTTTTATTGACGACGCTGTTTGATCTTTGTGGTTTTACTTAACTGTTTCTTTATGAGGATTTAAACAGCGTTGATGACAAATATTATCTGGTTTTATTGCTGTCATAAATTACCCCACACTAGGTGATTTTTAAATTCCTTTCTCCCTGGTTCATACCTGTTTTTCATTTTCACACCTGTGAATTCAAAAACCAAAATCTACAACCAATCCATTTTATTTATTTATATATAAATATTTGGAAGTCCACATAATTGATTTTTTTTTGCTTACTTTAGGATGAAATACAGTGGAATCTTTTAAGGCTTTGGTCAGTTTTGTGATTAAACTCCAGACCAAATGTTATTTACATTTTTAAATGCAAGTCAGAAATTATGTCTAACTTTTATTTGGTTTAGGTTTTGCGCATCAGAGCCCTGTGGTGTAAGATTCTACTGAAAGCTAAATGTAGCACATACTTAAAACAAAGATTCATCTTTTAGATAAATGGCCCAGCTTTTACGTCAACTCACTGGGGTCAGTGGAAGTTGCTGAGAAGTTGTGTGTGCGTGTGCGTGTGCACGTGTGCGTGTGTGCGCCACAGTGTTTCATTTACCTTCCAGAACTGTGATASTAATATGTCATCACTCACACATGAACTGTAACGCTGACCGTAGGGACAACATTTCTCCACTGCAAGGTTTGTCAAAATAAAGCTTAATAAATAAATACCAATAATTATCAGGTCTATGTGGTGACCATCTAATGACCTTGGATAAAAAAAAAATTGAGCTCATGGCCACAAGATAAATTTTAATCAATGTGTTGTTGTTGTTGTTGTTGTTGTTTTTTTTTTTTTTTTTTTTTTTTGGGGTGGGGGGGAGATACAGACGACACTGCAGTCTGATCCTGAATACATTTTTGGGTGGGTTTGAACTGTTCAAAGGAAGCCGACTCCACATTTATGTATTTGGTGTATGTTGATAAATACATGGTTCATCTTTCATAGTAGGCTRTTTATGAGGTGACAATGAACACCCAGGTATGGAAGAGAATTAGGGCCGCAAAGCAAAATAATATTATTTTTTCCTGAGTTCTGTGATTAAAGTCAAAACTCAGGAAAAAATAAAAATTTCTGTGCTCTGTGGCCCTAATCCTCTTCTGTACCCAGGTGTGTGTCAGGAAACAAACTTTTTTTTGCTGTGGTCCGGGTCCTTGTACTTTTTGGTCTTTTTTTGTTTTGTTTTGTTTKKTYTWAAAAAACRATGTTGACAAAMAAAAACAAAGTAGCAGTCAGACCTCTGAATTTTACACAATCTGGCCTTGATGTAAACTTAATGAGACGTCCACTCTCAAACACACTGAATGCTTTTCCACTTCCATCTGGACAATTTCAACGCTCTGTCTCAAATGTTGTCTGACAACAATCTCAGCCCAGCGAGAAACTGTCTTTATGTTGAGTTTAGCTGAACAAGTTACATGGATAGTTTTGTGCCATCGATTAGCAACACGCCATCTGGACAGACATGGAAATGTCCTTGTGTGTGTGTGTGTGTGTGTGTGTGTGTGTGTGTG